ACAATCATGTCTCCTATCTCTTTGTTTTTAAAGGACTGGTATTCAGAGGTTGATATTCTTTTGTGGCAGTTGTATAAACCATCATGACTCTTAGTCATTTATTTAGCTGCCAGAGGTAATAATTCCTTTAGATGGCATAATTAATACTCAATGTTTATCTTATTTACATGGATGTGATGTGGGCCTTAAAACACATGGATAATATAATAACAAGTTCTTAAGAGTTGTAACTGGGGCATCAAAGACCACTAAAACCAGTATGGCTTCCCAGATTGAGTTCATCTCTCATGCAGAATCAGCATGTAATTTGTTTGGCATGGGGTGGAAGCCAGCACTGTGATTTCTAAAGCACGATTTAGGGCTTAAACTTAACAACTTAACAGCTACAGTGATTCATTTAACAACTGTGGCAAGAAAAGTCATAAAATGGGGCAAAACTGACTTAGCGACAGAAATTTGGGGCTCAATTGTGGTTGCAGGTCAAGGACTATGTGTAATGTAAAGAGAGTAACACAAAATAATATACCGGTAGCTCTTCCGCCCAAAATATCTATTTGGAGTATTCTCTCTCTTGTCAAACATGATAAGTACTTATCATCCATAGTGATAAATGTTTATATTTTGCAGAGTTTTCCTGCTCTTTAGAAGAACATCGTATCAAAAATACCTTCTGAGAATCAGGCTGATGCAACAAGTTAAAAGTGGAGTCCAAACATTTTGAATTCAGCTCTGTCCTTGAATGGAGCTATGGAAGTTTAATATATTTTTGCTTCGGTTTCCATTTATAAGCCTGGGTCTAAAAGTGATCTCAGAAGACTACTGTGTCAATTAAATTAATACTGATTATCATAATGCAACTTTGAGGTTTAAGATAGGAAACCTGATAGCCTTCAATCCAACCTGGCTTTTTGCCAGCAAATTGATTGCCAGCTTTTTGCCAGCTGCATTAACAGAGGGATAGAATCAAGATCACGTGAAGTATTAATACCACTTTACAATGCCTTGGTAAGGCCACACTTGGAATACTGCATCCAGTTTTGGTCACCACGATGTAAAAAAGATGTTGAGATTCTAGAAAGAGTACAGAGAAGAGCAACAAAGATGATTAGGGGACTGGAGGCTAAAGCATATAAGGAACGGTTGCTGGAATTGGATATGTCTAGTTTAATGAAGGGAAGGACGAGGGGGGACATGATAGCAGTGTTCCAATATCTCTGGGGCTGCCACAAAGAAGAGGGAGTCAAGCTATTCTCCAAAGCATCTGACAGGCAGGACAAGAAGCAACAGATGGAAACTGATCAAGGAGGGAAGCAACTTAGAACTAAGGAGAAACTTCCTGACAGTTAGAACAATTAACCAGTGGAACCACCTGCCTCCAGAAGCGGTGAATGCTCCAACACTGGAAGTTTTTAAGAAGAGACTGGACAGCCATTTGTCTGAAATGGTATAGAGTTTCCTGCCTGAGCAGGGGGTTGGACTAGATGACCTCCAAAGTCCCTTCCAACTTTATTACTATTATTATTATTATTATTATTATTATTATTATTATTATTATTATTATTATTATTATTATTATTATTATTATTATTATTATTATTATTATTATTATTGAGTTTACAATCCCCATTGTCTCCAATCTGTCTGGGAATTGTTATCCATAATTTTTAATTAAAGGCATTTTTAACGAAGAAAAAACCATGAGAGAGAATGCAGCTAATAAAAATATATCATAATCAGGAAAATAGAAAAAAAAGAAAGAAAAGGAAAAGAAAGATTATAAGGGAGATATTTCTGATCTTCTTGACAGTGGTTATAAAAATTTTATTTTGCCCCCCTTCTAGGGATACATTATCACTTCTTTCTTTCCATAAGCTACCCTTTCTGATCTTGAAACCTCTAAATCAGAAGTTCATTTTTCTTTTTCTTCCATCAAAAAGTCCATAAAGGGTTTTCAGTCACTAATAAACATAGTTGTTGATCTTTCTCTAATCCAACAGATTAATATGCTAGTTCTATTATCTTCATCAACCATTGTACTGCTGTGAGTAGTTCAAAGTATTTCCATTTTTGCTCATACAATAACCATGCAGCATTAATCATTTATAAAAATAATCTTCTATGGGTGTTTTCTAATTGAATGTCCATTAATTCCAATGAGAAAAATCCTGGTTTCAGTTGAATGCTGATCTTTAAAAAAATTTGTATCATTATATGTATCTGAACTCAGCAATTTCTTCCCTTTCCACAAGGCCCCTTGACATGTCCATGTAGTCCACATTTCCAAAAGACATTTGATGAACGTTCATACATTCTAGACAGTTTTTCTGGAATCACACACCAACCTTTTAGAAATATTTTCTTTTCAGTTATAATCTACATTTCAGTCCTTTTAACTACATATTTTCCCACTGTTCCATCAGTATGTTGGAGACCATTTTATCATATAACCGTTCACTTGTTCTTCTGTTTCAAATTTCCATAAACTTAATCATTATACCAATTATATGTTCATCAGGTGTACACAGTTTGAGTTAAAATTCTGTCTTCTGCTGCTTAATTCCAAATGTCCAGTTATCTACCTTAAATCTTTCTCTTAGTTAGGCATACAAAAACTGCTGAAAGTTAAATTCCTCGGCAGCCAGTTTTCTCTTGATTTCATTTTATATTCCTGTTCTAGCAACTCTTGATAAGGTACTCATTTTTCTTTACCTGTTGTTTCTTTTCTGTAAAATGCTTCCTGTGCTGAAATCCAGAAAGGCATTTTCAGGTGCAGTCTGGTTTTATATTCTCAAAATGGCATTTCCAATATAATGATTCTTAAATCTGCATTAACCTTAACTTTATCATAACATAGAAGACCTTACCTGAGAATTGTTATCCATCATATTTAGAAGTTGGACATTATAAACTGATCCGATTTCACATTATCTTCCAAAGCTCTTAGGCTGGCACATTCCAGATGTGTTGAACAATTTATGAACGCAAAACAGCATGGTTGAAGCAAGTGATCATGGGAGTTGTAGTCCCAGCCTACAGCAAGGTCCCTTCCAACTCTCTTCTGTTATTCTGTAATGAGTCCGATATGGAAAGATATTGCAAGAACTGTGGCAATCTACAGTGGCAAAAATGTCTATCTGTCATCATCCATCCATCCATCATCCATCCATCCATCCATCCATCCATCCATCCATCCATCCATCCATCTATCTATCTATCTATCTATCTATCTATCTATCTATCTATCTATCTATCACAGAAATCTGATAGCATTTTTTTAAACTAACAAATTATATTAGAAGGCAGCTCATGAAAACTTATTCTTTTTAATAATAAAACGCTAGTCAGAAAAGGTGCTGCTGGATTATCCTCAGATAACTGGGAGATTGTGATTATCTGATTTACTTCTCTCACAAGTCTGCCGTGACGAAGAAAATTAGGAGACAACAAATATATCTGTTCACTTAATTCCTTGGGGCAAAAAGATTAAGAAGGAAAATACAATCGGGATTTAATTTAACATTTCTTACTTTAGTGAACTTCAGATTAAATCGACACAAATCGATACAGACAAGATAGATGGATCTTCTATAAATTTCAGACAAGAATGGAATTAACGTCAAACAACAGGCAAAGCTGCTTGAAGCTGTTTCCCCTTAAACTGGCTATTTACCGTTCGTTATCAGAAAAATAAATTTTTCCTCATTCAACAGTTTGAAAAAAAATCCCATTTGCCATTTAGCCGACATACGGCTCTATTCTCTTTGTTGGTTAAGCTGATAAGAAAGAATAAGCAACATCCTTATAGCATGACTCTGAGGCTGGCCCAGTTTCTTGGCTTTGCATCTGAATGATGAAATATCAGAGATCCCGCATCTGAATTATATAACAAAACCTGAACGCTCGCCCTCCTTTAAGGTGTTAGTTTCTTTACTAGTGTAACCTTCTCAAACTGTCTTTTGTAATAATAATAATAATAATAATAATAATAATAATAATAATAATAATAATAGTAGTAGTAGTAGTAGTAGTAGTAGTAGTAGTAGTAGTAGTAGTAGTAGTAAAGTTGGAAGGGACCTTGAAGGTCATCTAGTCCAAGCCCCTGCTCAGGCAGGAAAACCTATACCATTTCGGACAAATGGCTGTCCAGTCTCTTCTTAAAAACTTCCAGTGTTGGAGCATTCACAGCTTCTGGAGGCAGGTTGTTCCACTGATTAATCAGTGTTTCTCAACCTTGACAATTTTAAGGCATGTGGACTTCAACTCCCAGAATTCCACAGCCAGCAATGCTGGCTGTGGAATTCTGGGAGTTGAAGTCCACATGCCTTAAAATTGTCAAGGTTGAGACACACTGGATTAATTGTTCTCACTGTCAGGAAATTTCTCCTTAGTTCTAGGTTGCTTCTCTCCTTGATTAGTTTCCATCCATTGCTTCTTGTCCTGCCTTCAGGTGCTTTGGAGAATAGCTTGACTCCCTCTTCTTTAATCTTGGCCACTTTAAGACGGGTAGACTTCAACTCCCAGAATTCCCCAGCCAGCCATGAAGTCCACCCATCTTAAAATAGCCAATATGTTTTAAAAAAAACGCTATTTTAGAGCCTGTTTGCCTTTTGACGACCCATTACCATTTCCACCAAACCTTAGAGAAGCCTCAAGGGGAAGCTAGCAGGGTGATCCTTCAGATGCCTCTTCCCAATAGACCCGGCCGGGGAAACTCAATTTGGGGGTTCGTTGCTGAACCTCGTAGACTGAAAAGGCCAGGGTCTGCTTTGACCCCCCCCCCCCCCAAAGCTTAAGCCAGCAACCAGGTTGCGGCGCCCGCCAGGTGAGGGAGGACCGCCCCTATGCAAATGAGAGCGTGTCTGCCGCTTCTTACTGGCTCTGGCCCGAAGGACAGCCCTTCCCCGACAGGTTAGACGGCTTGTCCGTCATCGGCGAAGGTAGAGCCGCGAACGCCGCCTCCCTCCTCAGTGCACCTGCCGGCCGGGCTGTTCGGAGGATCCTCCCGCTGGGCTCCCTTCGCCGCTTCTCTTCAGCGGGCAGCGTCGTCGTCGTCGCCGCCGATCCACCTGGGTCCCGCCATGGAGGGGCTGCGGGGTGGCCTGAGCCTCGCCGGGCTCCTGTCGTTGCTGCTCGTCGCCGGCGGTAAGTAGAGGAGGAGGCGGCGGCGGAGGAGGCACAGGCGGGAGCCGTCTGGGGCGCCTTGAAAAGGCAGCGGGCTGCTCCTCTCCTGTTGCGTCCCCGCGCACCTTGCAGTTTGGCCGCGGGCCACTTCTCGCGATCCCGCCCCGGTTTGGAGCCGACTCTCGTTTGGCAGCAGACGAAGCTTCGGGCTGAGTGGCTAACAACCGCCGCCAGTTTCCTTTGGCGGGGCGGATCTTTCAAGTTTCCAGTCCTCAAGGCTTTAGGAGCCAAGTTGGTGTTTTGCAGAGCGGGGAAGGGCATCAAAGAGCGTTTCCTTGCTTGGGGGCAGTAGGGTTGCCAGGTGTCCACTATTTGAGTGGACAGTCCACTATTTTCACATTATGTTCACTATTTTTTTTTCACAAAATAGTGGACATTTTTTTTTATTCAAAAGCTTTATGATGAAATGGTACGTAACCTAAAGCTGTACAGTCTCCTTTTTTTTACTACTTAACCACCCACCCACCCCGCTTGTCCGCTATTTTTTGGAAGCAGACCTGGCAACCCTAGGGGGCATTGAAGAACTTGGTGGCTTGGGTCGGAGAGGAGGGAGGTGGGCTCCATCGGGGGTTGAATGCAGATTGTGCTCGTGGCAGCCCTGAGATTCACCCCTGGCCGTTGTATCCAGAAATATATGTATTTCTTAACACAGAGAGATCGTAGCTTACCTGGTTTTTTTTTAGCTTTTAAAGCTTGATGCTTCTTGTGCCCAAGGCCTTAAGGGGGTTGGTTGTTCCTGCCCACGGAAAGATTTCCTGCTTGAAGAAATCCTTTCCTTAATTCTGTTTCTCACGGTTCCAGGCTTAATTTGGATCTTCTTTTGAAAGATCTTCCCAAGGTGGTATGATCAGAAAAGAATACAGAATACAGAACAACAGAGTTGGAAGGGACCTTGGAGGTCTTCTAGTCCAGCCCCCTGCTCAGGCAGGAAGCCTGTACCGTTTCAGACAGATGGTTGTCCAGTCTCTTCTTAAAAACTTCCAGTGTTGGAGCATTCACAGCTTCTGGAGGCAGGATTTCAAATTGAAGTCTTAAGCTAATTTGTGATGATTAAAGGAGACCCCCCTCCAAACGTTGTATTCTTTGTTCTTGCTTTGAGTTGTATGGAATTGTGCTTTTAGTGCACTCCTCTGCTAGAGGGGTGGGGTGACAGCTCTTCTTTCCGAATGCTTGGGCTGAAAAGCCCTCAACTCTTCTCGGGTTTTATTTTAGGCTTAACACTTCTTGTTTTCCCACCCTTCTTCCTGAAACCAGCTTTTGAGCATGACTAGCAAAGGGTGCCTTGCCTAGAAGATTGCGAGAGGGCAAAGGTCTGTGCATGGGGGAAAACACAGACAGAAAGAGAAAGGGGAGGAAATGTTCCTTGGAATGTCTTAAGGAAGAAGAGTTGCCATCTTATTTTCTCCCTCCCTCCCCCCGGAGATTTCCTACTTTTAGGAAGATGTTCCCCAAGGAAAGTTGCTTAGTTGTCACGTCTCTAGCCCTGGAAAAGCTGCTGGCTGAATTTTTTTTGCCTGCCGGAATTTTAGAAGGGAAGCTGCAACACTACTCTGCGCTAAGCATTTAAAAGGAAGGGCTTGTCAGAATAGGAACCTCTGGTCTGATGTGTTAAGATCCTTTTTAGTTACTCTTTGAAAAAGGTTTAACCATTTGTGCGCAATCTCCAAGCCTTCAACGTCCTTTCCAACAGATGTAGAAATATAATGGTATCTGTTAGAGGTGAGAAGTGAGATTTTTTTTCCCTTCCGGAGGGAAATGTGTTCTTGCAATGCCTGGGGTTGGGGGGGGAGAGCGTTATCTCCTTTTTGGTAGCTACACCCAAGTCTTTTACAAATGATCCAGCCAATGGGGGCTGGCTTCTGAAACTTGCATTATCTTCTTCCACCAAAGCTGAAACTCAAATACACTTCGTAGAAGTGGCATTAAAATCCAAGCGGTTCCTGGAATGTTCTGCACGTGTGTTTACGTTTGTCTGTCCTTTCAAGCCTGCAGTTGGCCATGAGGTCTGTAATCAGACAAAATAAGATACAAGATGCTTTGCCCTCAGGGCTCACTCCGTCAGCACTAGCAGTGCTCAGTCGTGGAACGTAAGAATAAAGTCTAGGTCAGTGATGGTGAACCTTTTAGAGACCGAATGCCCAAACCGCAACCCAAAACCCACTTATGTATCGCAAAGTGCCAGGGCCCCATCAGCATTGTGGAGCCCTCAGGGGTGGTGGGGGTGGGCGTGGCCCACTGGGTGGGCACGGCTGCGGTGGTCATGGCAGACTGAGTGGGTGTGGCTGGAGTGGGCGTGGCCACCTTGACGTTGCTCGTGGGGGGACTCCTGTGCGGGCTGGGCAGGATTGGGGGAGATCCAGGGGGTCTCTGGTGGGTGGGGCAGTCATTCAGGAGGCTCGTCCTGCGGGGTGAGGCAGAGGTGCCATTGTTGCGGGGCGAGGCAGGGGCGGCTGCTGCCTGACACCATCAGCCCCCGCGCACAGAGGCCAGTGAGCGCATGGGGGCGTGCTCTACCACCTCTACTCGAGCTTGCTAGCCAGCTGCTTCGCCTCCTTTGTGCTGGGTGGGACTGCCGCTCCGGGTGCCAGCTCCGGGTGCCAGAGGTAAATAGCCAGCCTCACCTTCTCCTTTGATGTGCTCTCAGTAAAAGAAACTTCCAGTATAGAAGCCCCCACTGGAGCATCTAGAGCAGGGCTTTTCAACCTTTTCACCCATTGTACCACTTTTAGGATATGGCAACATCCGAGTACCACCAGTCGCCTAGCAAGGTGTCAAAAACTTGATGACCAAAAAAAAAAAAAGGGAAAAAAGTGATAAAGTACAGGTAGTCCTCGACTTACAACAGTTCGCTTAGTGACTGTTAGAAGTTACAATGGCACTGAAAAAAGTGCCCCCCCAAGCCATAGCCGAGCAAGACACCTGCCGGCCCTCCCGGT